AGAGTCTCACTTTATTGCCCTTGGTAGAGTGCCGCAGTATCACAGCTCACAGCAACCTCCATCTTCTGGGCTTTCGCGGTTCTCTTACCTCAGCCTCTCGAGTCCCATTGTGCTGGGATTACAGGCACCCAACACAATGCCCTGCTATTTTTTGTTGTAGTTTGGCTGGGGCTGGGTTTGAACCGCCATACTCAGTATATGGGGCCAGCTCCCTACTCACTGAACCACAGGCGCTGCCCGAAAAAGGAATAATTTTAAATATAATACTAGCTGTAAAAAGTTAAAGAACTTCTACCTAAAACAAAAGGACTGACTGGAGAAGAAAGGAAATAAGTTCTTAAATTTTTTTAACAGCTTTATTGAAGTATAATTGGTATACAAAAAAACTACACATATTTAAAGTATACAATTTAGTAAGTTTTAACATGTATACATTTATCAAGATAATTAATGTATCGATCTTACCCAGAAGTCTTCCCTGTGGCTCCCTAAGACCATCATGCCCCTCATTTCTCACAGCCATTTTTCTGCTTTTTGTCACCGTTTGTCATTTCAGAGGGTTTTTTTGAGACCTAGTCTCACTTTCTTGTCCCTGGTAGAGTGCCATGGCATCATAGCTCACAGCAACCTCAAACTCTTGGGCTCAAATGATCCTCTTGTCTCAGCCTCTCAAGTAGCTGGGACTACAGGTGCCCACCACAGTACCCAGCTATTTCTTAGACATGAGGTCTTGCTCTGGCTCAGGCTGGTCTTGAACTCCTGAGGTCAGGTAATCCACCTGCCTTGGCCTCCCAGAGTGTCTCTCTTAGATTTTAACATGGGAATGTCCCACTTGAAAAAGCAAAATATTTCATTCAAATTTGTGATGTCATACTGTTAGCATCCTGTTTAGGGTGACAGTTCTCTTTTTCCTCTTCTGTTCTGAAACTTCTTTTATCTTTGAATTTAATTTTCTTTTATCAAATTATATAGATTAAGAAGACACAGTATATAACCAGATTTATGATGAAAAATGGCCATTCCTGTCTCTCTACTATCTCTGTACTTCAAGTCAGTTTGTTTGAAGAGAATTTGTTGTTCTCCTTGTTTCTCCTCTGAGGTTACCCATCTCTTTTGCTAACATCACTATCTCTTTATTCAAGTCTTTGGATCTGGTAAGTTTCCAGTCCTGCTAACTTCCTTTTCTGGTATCCACCCCTCTTTATTCTCCTCTCCATTCCTACCAGCAAGTGCTTGCCTCTCACCTCTTTCCCACACACCAATGCACTGGCCTGTAACTGGTCCAGATATCTCTGATTTCTCCCCGTGTCTGGTGTGTCTTCCCTCTAGCTGCCAGAGTTTGCTTCTACAATATCCTTCTATAATAAATCATTTTTCTACTCTACTTAAAAGTTCAGTGGCCTTCCAAATAAATTCCATATTCCTTAGGGTCTTTTAGATCTGACCCTAGCCTTTCCTGTCTCATCTTTGTTGATCTCTCCCTTTTAAGCTACCTGTATTCCTGCTACATTGAAATATCCACTGGTTCTAAAACCAGCTATGTGCTTTCACACCTGCACCTTCGAGTACTGTGTTCCTTCTGAGACACCTTTCCTACCTCTACTTGTCAAATCATTCAAGGCCTCACTAAAGTGCCACTTTTTCTGACCCCTCTTAGACTTAATTTCTCCATCTTCTACTCTGCTAAAGCAGTTTTTATTCTTCAGTTTTGAAATGTGCATTTTAGCTATTTGAATAGCTAAAATGGATATCCCATCCAGCATCTTTTTTATTTATTTATTTATTTTTATTTTTTTTATTTTTTTGAGACAGAGCCTCAAGCTATCCCCCTGGGTAGAGTGCCATGGCATCACAGCTCACAGCAACCTCCAACTCCTGGGCTCAAG